GGTGTGGGGTTGTTCCTTCAGGGGCTGGGCTTGGCCCCTTAGTTCCAGTGAAGGGAACTTTTAAGGCATCAGCATACCAAGACATTTTGGACAATTTCATGTTCCCAACTTTGTGGGAACAGTTTGGGGATGGCCCCTGTTCTAACCAGTGCACAAAGCAAGGTCCATAAAGACATGGATGGGGGAGTTTGGGTGGAGGAATTTGACTGGCCTGCACAGAGTCCTGACCTCAACCCGATAGAACACCTTTGGGATGAATTAGATTGGAAACTGCAAGCAAGGCCTTCTCGTCCAACATCAGTACCTGACCTCACAAATATAGCTTGCGATATAAATGGTATATCCGATTTCCATTCGCTCATTTACATATGAGGAACAAATGACTGAAAACATAAAAACCTGCAGGTAAACGGCAAGCACAAAACTGCAAATTTTCAATGACTTTTGGCCTGTGTAACTTTAAAAATCCTGAGTTAAAAATGTAGACTTTTCTTCATGTATTCCACTTTGACTTCCCAGTGTTTTCTTTGTTAAAGACTATTAAAAGACCTGCATTGATTTATTATGTATCAGGCGGCCACAAAAGTTATTTCACCAGAAGTTACAGGAAAAACATAATGCCGCTGTTTTTCACTGATGACCGGAAAATTTCCGATCTCTAACCAGAGTCAGGATATAAGTTCTAACCCGACGATATACTAAAAGCTTTGCCATTTAACGGAGTTAACCAGAGCCAGAGCGTGCTACTAATGCATATTATGTGGGTGTTATTCTGCGACACCAGACACATTTATAATGGACTCCGTTTAGTCCTCGCTTCCTGAGAGAACGGCGGTTTGAAATGGGAGTCATGAAACTTGATAAACATCATGGAGGGTCATTAAATATTTACCAGCTGGGAAGATTGCGTGTTTACAATGGTAATTCTTAAAGCGGACCTTGCATGGAAGAATGAAAGACACTAAGGGCCCGTTCATATTTATGAGTTGCAGTAAAATACATATAACCAGGGGCATAACTAAAAATCACAGGGCCCCATAGCAAAATCTTGTATGGGGCCCTGTGATTTCTAGTTAAGTCCACCTGATAACCCACACAGCCCACCTGAGGGTGACCCTGCAGAGCCCACCATAGACTCTCTATGGTGGGCTCTGCTCGGTCTCAGGTGGGCGGTCAAGCCCTCTTACCTGTCGGCCCCCGATCCTCTGTCCGCCTCATCCACGATCGCTTGCGGGCCCCGCCTCCTCAGTCACTGGGCCCCCACCTCCTCGTTTGCCGGGCCTGCCTCCCCAATCGCTAAGACGCGCCTCCTCGATCACTGGGCCCCGTCTCCTCAAACCACTGCCAACGACGAGCCCAGCCACCTCCTCCGAAGCTGCTGGTTGTCACCGACTGTGAGGAGGAACGTGCCGCTGCACATGTGAATGGCTGCCTGTTTCTCCTCACAGCCGCCAGCGACAGCCAGCAACCTGAAATGCAATAGCGACCCAGGGGGCCTGCACGGCAACAGGGGGATGTCCGGGCCGGGCCCCCCTGTGCTCCATAGCGGCCACATGGATCGCTATGGTGATTGTTACGCCACTGCATATAACCATACCATGGTGAGTTGCGGTACAGAAGCAGGCAATGCGAAGAATAAATGGGTCAGGTACAATGTTGTGGGGTGTTGGCAGCTCATTCATCCTGAATGGGCTGCCTTAAAGTATATCTAAACTCAAGTACAAAAATGTCATATTAGAGCTTACCAGTGTAGATGTGGGGAGCTAGTTTAGTTTTTCAGGCCCAGAACATTTTCTGCAGTACAAAAAATATCTTGATCTTGCCAGACATCCAATGTCCTTAGAATTTCCTGCACACTAAACTGGAATCTCAAACAGTGTTATCAGCTTTTGTGAATGTAGCAAAAGGTATTAAAATGTAGAACTACAGAAGCTTTATTATGAAGATGGGGGATGATCTGTAGTAGGGATGCACAAATACTAGTATCAATGCTGAGTATTTGGGCGAGTACTTGTACTCGCCCAAATGCTCCCGATACCAGAACTTCCGGTATCAGAAAGCTGGACAACGAGTCATTATATGCCGCCTGGCATCCTGATTGGCCAGAAAGCCGGCTCCATTCTCCCCCGTCAGCAGGGAGCATGGAAATGGCTATCACGGCCAATCATAAAGCTGGGGGGCGGTAATGACCTGCCCCCTGGGTTCCCGATTGGCCAGAAAGCCGGCTCTATGCTTCCTTGTCATGCTTTAATCGGCTAGTACTGGAAAAAGGAAAACCGGAAAAAAA